GCTAGCTGTTTGAGCTGTTGCTACTTCTCCCTTGCCCTCTTGCTCTTTGCTGCCACCATGAAAAGTTGCTCTCTGCTACGTGCTGCTCTGCCTTGAAACCAGCTGAATACAGACTGAAACATCCAGTAACTAAATAAACCTTTCCTTCTCTAATTCCAGTGTTGGGTATTTGTCCCAGCAACAAGAGAAGAGTAACAAAGACACCCACACTCTAAAGGAGAGCTCTACTTTAGCTCAGGTTTCAGGGGGCTCAGTCCACAGGCACCCGGCTCCAACACATGGCCTAGTGGAGCAAAACTGCTCACCTCCTAGCAGCCAGAAGGCACCAGGGAGAAGCTGGGGACAGGAACATCCTTCCAGATCACCCCATCTCCATCCAGGCCCAGCCACCCAACAGCACATTTTCAGCCATGAGCTCATCAATGAATTACCAAAGACCACAGCACCCCCACAATCCAGTCACCGGCTAAAAGCACCACCTCTGAGTACATGAGGCTTTGGAGACATTTCAGATCCAAACTATATCAAGCACCTAGAGTATTATGTGCTCTAAGCAGATGTCAAACTGAGCACTCAATTTTTTTTGGCGGAACCGGGGATTGAACTCAGATCCTTGCGTTTGCTGGTCAAGCACTCATCCTACTGAGCCAACTCCCCGGCCCGAGCACTCACTTTTAAACAAGATTCTCACAAAGTCATAAACACAAAAGCTCTTCATGAAAAGTAACAAGGACAAAAATACTTAGGGTACACTATAGAAATAAATTCCATGTTTCACTATATGTCAAAAATTTAAATGTATATACAACCAGGTATAGTGGTATACACCTGTAATACCACCTACTCACGAGCCTGACACAGGTAGATCAGAAGTTCAAGACTAATCTGAGCAAGACCCTATCTCAAAATTTAAAAGAAAAGGGGCAGGGGGTGCCAGGGAGATGGCTCAGTAGAATAAGTGCTTCCCTGGCAAGCATAAGGGCCTGAGTTCAATCCCCAGTTCTGCCAAAAAAAAAAAAAAAAAAAAGCGGGAGGGAGGGGGGTAAGGACAGGGGATATAGGTCAGTGTTATTATGGTTTAGATTTAAAACATTCCCCCAAAGTCTCATGTACTCAGAGGTGGGGCTTTTAGCAGGTAAAATGGATCACGACAGCACTATACTCATCTGTGGGTTAAGCCATGGATTGAGAAGCTCACGGCTGGATGGGCTGGTTGGAGGTGAGTCACCAGGGGCCTGACCTGGGAGGGCGCATCCTTGTCCCGCAATCCTAGCATCTCTGCTTGCTGCCCACCATGGCCTGAACAGTCTTCCTCTTCCACGCTCTTCCACCCGTGCTGCTCCTGCCCTGGAGCCAGCCAGGCATGGACTGGAATCCGCAGAACAGTGAGCCAATTCAGCCTCTTCTCCTTTAAGTGGGGGGTGTCAGGTATTTTGTCTCAGGGATGAGGAAAGCGCAATTACATCCTACTACACTCAAGTAAGGCCTTTGTGTGCAGTCCCTAGGACTGCAAAATAAAAAGTGCATACTCCCTTTGAACCTTGGCAGTTCTGTCCCTGGATTATATTCATACCCTTGCAAATGTGCAAAATCAATTAGCTACAAGTATTTCATGGTATCAGTAGCTACAACAGAAAACAATAAGAGACATCCTAAATGCTACTAAGCAGTAGATTAAATAAGGCACAGCCCCAAAGCAATCCTTTTCAGAGTATTGTAAAAACTATTGTAAAACAGAAATTATTGTCTTAGTGAAGCCATTACAAGTGATGTAGAAACCACAAAATATCAAATGTTTTTTTCTTCCTTTTCTATATGTCCAGAACAGGCAAATGTATACAGGTGAGGTAGTTTAGCACTTGCTAAAAACTGGGAAGATTATAGAGAGAAATGGGGAGTGACTATTAATGGGTGAAGGATATCCTCCAGGATCATGAAAATGTTCTTAAATTTATGTTGGTAATGATGAAGAATTCTGTGACTATACTAACCCACATACATTTTTAATGTGTGAAATATATGGTGTATGTCAATTATATTTTCATAAAGGTGTTATTTTTAAAAGTTTAGTAGTTCTACCTGGAGTAATATGGATTCATCTTCAAGATACACTGTTCTGTGAATAAAGGAAGATATAGAACACTGTACTCCGTACACAATGCCATTTGTGTTTTCTTACACACACATCTTATGGCTTACATATGAAACTAGCTAATTTTAAGGAAAGAACCTGGACGTCTAGAGAATTCTTTTTGCATTTCTGAATTTTATAAAATGTGTACATATTGGCTATTTAAAATACATATGTTTAAAGTAATATATCCATTAAAAGTTCAATTTATCAAATATTGATTCTCAATTCTCGTATTCAGTATTTTCCAATAAGATTTGTCTATTTGAGAAGTTTATATTTAAAGCTCAACAATATCAGACATTGAATGAGAGCCTGACTTATTTTCTTATTCCTTGGTTAGCATGCTATAATTTGTTTTTTAATTACCAATGAGAGTTTCTATTTGAAGGTGAGCAAGAAAACTAACTTAAAAAGAAACAACAGTTAAATTATGATCTTTGTCAACTGTTAACAGATGTGCTAAAACTCTTGGTTGAAATTACTACCTAAAATAATAATTCATAGAATTAATTTAATTCTACTACTTCAATTTCTACTTTGCTACTGATCAATGAAGCATATTCAATATAATATTATAAAGGTTGGCCTACTAAAGTGTCATATTTTAAAAATGTTTTTAACTATTAATTAATTTATTTGGTACAGGGTCTCACTATACAGCTTGGACTCATAGTAATCCTCCTGTGCCAGCCTCCTCAGCACTGAGATTATGGGTGTGCACCATCATGCCTGGCTTAGGGGCTGGCACAGTGTGCCCTGGGCTCCAGGCTGGCCCAGCACGTGGTACCAGGGATTTAACCCAGGTTTTTATACTTGCTAGGCAGGCATTTAGACCACCAGTGTCACATTTTTAACCACAGGTTTTATCAGGTAGTATAAACTACTTTCTAAACTATGGCACACTTCCATTAATACCTTTATAATTTCTCCTTCATATACAAACTGGATTCCTACTCTTTAGCCCATTGTTTTACAACTAGTTCATTCTAGACAAAATTAAACACTCCTTCCCCAGCTTTTCCACATTATCATTTATTTTTGTTTTACATTCATCACATTACATTGTAGTTATTTATTTAAATGTCTCTGTTCCCACCATGTCTAGCTCCTTGTAGTAGAAACAGCTCATTTCATTACATTCATTTGTAACTTCAGAACCTAGCACAATCCCTGCACGTAAGGAGACGTTTGAGGAAGCTCACTGACATCCAGGAACACACACACTGCGTGTGTTCTTGTGATTAGGAACACTTATATTGCCCTATTCAATTTTTAAGTTATGAAACTAGAATTAATTCATTACCCACACTACTCCAATTCTAAAAAGAGAAGCAAATGTGTAGAGTTCCAAATTTCAAGTAATTATCCCATAGATGGTTAATGTGAGCAAATAAAATCAATCAAATTACACAAAACATACCCCACACAGAAAGCAACGCCAAGATATGACAGTACAGCTGCATATTTTTCTTTCTTTTTATAAAAGTGAGTGCACTTAAACTGTAGTCATCTATCATAGTTATCAAATATTCATGCAGGTGAAATATTTGAATTTAGTTAGTCTCTGTACCTAAATAATGAATTGGGATAAGGGTATATCATAGAGTGAAAAGGATTAACAGGATATTTCAGTAAATCCCTGGTAGTGGCCAGGCATGGTGTTATACGCCTGTAATCCCAGCACTAGGGAGGGGGAGGCAAGAGGATCAATAGGAGTTCAAGGCCAACGTAGGCTACATAAGTGAGTTCAAACCAACCCTGAACTACAAACCTGAACCACATGTCTCAAAAATTAAAACTAAATCCCTGATACCTGCTGGCTTAACACCAGTGCCAAATAAAACACCAAGGGTCCAAGGGGAGCCACCAGTGACCTGAAAAGGAAAGGTAGCAAAGGTCTACTGCAGCCCACTCTTACAAACAATCAATAAGCCCAAATCAATGACATTTCTTTATATGCTGTAGGTGGTTCATTCTTAAACATCTACCACAGTAAGACAAACATCGCATAGCTGGTGGGCAGAGATACGTGAAAATATTCGTTTCATTCAAAAGTAAATACCTATCAGATTTCGTGCACATGAATGAGTGATCATGTAGATTTGTGTTTTAGCACCTTTTTATTACTTTCTTCAATAGTTCAAGCAATTTTATTGACTAGTATCTTACAAACTAGTATAAAAGTAAAAATTAGAAAACTGAAAAGCTCCAGATAGGATAGATAGACCACAGTAGAAAAAAAGGATAAAAAGATCTCAGAATGGTAATGACTATAAAGAAAACTTCAGGGGTTATTAGGTAAGCTCTCCATAACCTAGCTGAGTCACCTTAGGTAAATCACTCTGAATCCCAGACCTTGGTGTTCTAAACTATAAAAAAAAGCTGGAATATATGATCTTTCTGATCCTCTTTAAGTTACTACATAATTAGTGCAAAATTTAAAAGTAAAGATTACATAAAAATGGTATACAAGGAATTTTTCTAGTCACCAGTTCATTACTTGATTCTTTTCACAGTCATTTTAGAACCATTCCACCCAGGTGTGAGAGACAGCAACTACTAGCCAAACTAATAGCTTCTTTTTCTATGAAACAAAAATCATAATCAGGGCTGGCAAGATAGCTCAGCGAACTAAGCGTCTGCTTAGGCACACACAGGGTCCGGGGTTCAATTCCTGGCACCACCTGCCAAACCGGCTCGTCCCTGGGTGCGCTGAGCCGGTGACAGAGTCCTGGTGTGGTGGCACATGCCTGTAATCCCAGGGCTGAGGATCACTATGAGTCTGAGCTGCATAGTGAGACCCTGTACCAAATATTTTTTTTAATCATAATCAGTAAAATTATTTTAATAAAAAAGCTTAACTGACCTGGTGCAACTACATTCACTCTAATTTTCTTCCTTGCTACCTCTTTAGCAAGTGCACGGGAAAATCCCACTAATCCTCCTTTAGTGGCACTGTATACAGACTGGCCGGAATTGCCCTTTAAGCCAACGATACTGCCTAGAAGAAAAAAGGAACATAAGTAAATTCAAACCAAGTAAAGTTTACTTGAAAATTCAGATAATTTATAGTAAATGAAAAAGACATAAGACATTTCATCTTATCCTATTCCAAAATTAGCAATTCTATCCATTGTCATTTGAATAATGAGACTTAAAAAATCCAAGTCTACGCCAGACAAATACAGGAAAAGAAGCTAATTTGAAACTACAAGGCCAGGTAGGAGGCTTTCAAATTGATCTTGTAAGTGAAAGGACCTATCCTAAGTCCTGAGAAAGTGAGATCGAATGAAAATTCTGTGGCATGTAAGAGATATAAGGAGGAAGAAGTAGAAGCTAGAAATTCAGATAGAAGTTAATATTATGATTCTATAGCCGAACAAGTAAAGAAATACTTCTAACAAAAAGAACAATCCAGTTGAAGATTAAAGTCACTAAATCTGAACAACTCTCAATCTAAAAGAGTAGAAGTTTAACTATAAATGTTTTGTAAAAGTGTCATTTTGTTACTTTTAGTGATGTAACTTCTACTGCCTGCTAAAGATTCTTAAGTGACCTCATTTAATGACTACGTAAGAACATTTATTAATTCAAGCATAAACTATATACAAATACATCCTAGCAAACAGAAGTGGAAAAGTAATTTTCTGTACTATGGGCCTCCATTATGATATGAAAATTAAACAAGAACTTCACAAAAATTTTAAAGTAATTTTACTTTCAAAAGAGAAAGGTCGAGGAGATGGCTCAGTGGAATAAGCACTTCCCTGGCAAGTGCAAGGGCCTGAGTTCAATCTCGGGGTGGGGAGGAGCGAGCATTCTATTTTTCCTATTATAATTACTAACTCCAATATTAAAATAATTACCTATATTATATAGTTATGTATCATGACTGAAAGAATATCTACTGATGCACACATTAGGTGATTTTACAGTTGTTAAAATAGATATACAGCCTATTCTGCTAAGACTATAAACCTAGTAACATATTATTGTAGGCAATATTGAATACTGTAGGCAATTGTAAAGCAAAAGTATTTGCAAATCTAAAGATAGAAAAGATACAGTAAAACTACTAGGCAATAGAAATTTGCAATTACACATGTGGTCCCTCACTGATTGAAACTCTATGTGGCACATAACTTTATATTACGTGCCAGTTAATGACAAAGGAAGTGAACTGTGAAGTGCACAAAGTAAAGATATCAGATATCAGACCAAGAAAAAACAGATGGCCAGAGATAGGGATATAGGGGAGAAAGAGAAATGCACAGAGGCCAAAAATCATGAAAGGAGGGAGAGGAAAGGAGGGAGGGAGGGAAGGCAGGAAGGGAAGCAGAGAGAGACAGAGACGGAGGACAGGCGTAGAAGAAAAGCCAAAGAGGAGACTTCAAGTCCTCACACTTCAAATGATAGATACAGGTCTGTGTTCTTAAAAGAACCCAAAGTCATTATCTGTCTCAGAAGACAAAGGTGGACTCATTCACTAACTCCTTGGAGAAAACAGCCCTTCATCATTCACATGATGGAGCAGCACCCCTCTCTGTGGCCTTTTAAGGTATCACTACTTAAAACATAAAAAGCAGGCAGTATGCTATTCTCTCTCTCACTCTTTTTTTTTTTTTTTTTTTTTTTTTTTGCGGTACAGGGGATTGAACTCAGGACCCTGAGCTTGCCAGGCAAGCACTTATTCTACTGAGCTATCTCCCCGGGACCGCTATTTTCAAATTACAAAACCACAATAAAATTTTAAGTCATTGTGCATATTAAGTTCTATAATCATATACTTCATAGATTACCTTCCCTGTGTTTCTGGAGAGGTTAGATGAACTGAAGACTGGAGGTTACTTACATCTATTCTAAAACTATTGAAAATTTTTAACTTCCTTTAAACTTTTACACTAGATTTATCAATGACCTATCAAACTACCGATTACTTAGCCCCTAGTACCTACAGTTTAATTTTTTGTCCATACTTTAAAAAGTAGGTTTCATATAATAATTAGGAAGACTGGGCCATGAGATAGCTCAGCAGACTAAGCACCTGCTTAGGCAAGCATAGAGATCAGGGCTTGATCCTGGGCACCACATGCCACACTGGTGTGCTGAGCTGGCCACAGAGACCAGGCATTGGGGAGGCTGAAAACAGGAGGATTACTACAAGTCTGAGCTGCATAGTGAGAGCCTGTACTAAATACATTAAAAAGAAAAAAAAAAAAAATCAGCATGATCAATTTCTGTTGAGGAATCTAAACTGCTAACAAAAATGGACCGCACTCCAGCACAGCAAGAATCTGCTGGATCTGGGCAGTAATGGTCCCTGTGGCCTCTGGTCACTGAACCAAGAAGGCTTTTGTCATTTGGCTTCTACTCTCATTTTTCCAATACTTGGTAGTGGTGCTCATTTAACGCCTACCTGACCCCTACAGGGATATTATATTAATTAATTACATTAATTATAGATTCCTCTTTTACCTACTGACCAGGTAATTCAAACTTTTTTTCCACAGATAATACAAAGGTAAACTGCACCTAAGTTTCACAAGTGAAGTTACAAGTTAGTAAATACTTTTATGGCAGACTGAGATCATTATAAATCCCCGATAGTGAAACTTACCAACATTAACGATAGACCCGCCCTGTTGCTGAATCATAGTCCTCATGGCAGCTTTACATGTCAGCATGGAGCCCAAGAGGTTAGTCTGAAGCTGAGATACCATATCTTCAGTTTTTGCTCTTACTAAAAGGCTATCTCTATAAAAAAAAAAAGCATATAAATTAATAACAAGATAAAACAAGCAATAAGGTCCAGCCAGATAGCTCAGCAGACTAAAGCACCTGCTTAGGCAGAGTGCAGCAGCCAGGGTTCGATCCCCAGCGTGCTGTGCAGGCCCCGCCCCCAGGGCATGCTGAGATGGCCACTGAGACTGGGTGTGGTGGTGCATGCCTGTAATCCCAGCACATGAGAGGCTGAAAACAGGAGAACCACTACAAGTCTGATCTGTGCAGTGGGACTCTATAGACCCTGTACTAAACACACACACACACAAAAAGATAAAACAAGCAAAACCAAAAAAAGGTCAAGATATATGTAACATTTTTAAAATTTTATGTATTTAGTACAGGGTCTACAGGGTTTCACTACACAGATGGGACTCATAGTGAACCACCTGTTTTCAACCTCCTAAGCACTGGGATTACAGGCGCACATCACCACGACCAGGCACCAGTTTCACCCCAGGGGCAGAGCCAGAACAGCATGCCAGGGATTGAACCCCCGTCCCTGCTCCTGCCTAAGCAGGTGCTTTAATCTGCTGAGCTATCTGGCTGGCCTTGTAACATTTCGAATGAAAGCAAAGTATAAGAAGTGCTTCCTATCTGAGGTAGAATACCTGGAAAGTTCTACTTTGAACCTGGCAGCAAACCACTAAAGTAACAACTAATGAGCCAAAAAGAATCCACTTCAAAGGCCGTTCCTGCTTCCCATCAGTTAAAGTAACAAACATTCCTAACTGTGAAAGGTAGTACTTGCAGAGCCAAAATATTTCAAGTAACTACCTAAGTCTTGTTTAGTATAACAATTAGTATGTTACTCTAAATATCTCTTTCTAAATTCAGATTCTTTTAAAAAAACAATACCCACCCTACAGCTCCATTCGGATCAAGTTCACATGTCGGCAAAACACATATGGTAACAGAGCTCCACTTGATACAGATGAGGAGGTATTAACTGAAAACAAAGGCAAGCTCATCTTCAGGACTGCTGGAAATACTCTATAGCTCAATCATGGCGCTGACTACAATGTTAAAATGGATCAGTCTGGACACTTATCCCAATATAAAAGAACAGAATGCATAAGTTGACAAAGCTTTCGTTTGCTCATTTGCTTGTCTGTATTACTAGGGACTGAGCACGAGGCCTGAACCCACAGCATATGCTGGGCAAGTGTTCTTACACTGAGCTGCAGCATCAGCCTCTTCCAAATTTTGATACAGGGTCTAAGTCACTCAGGCTGGCCCCAAATGTCAGTCCTCCTGCTTTAGCCTCCCAAGTAGCTGGAATTTCAAACTTGTGCCACAACATGCAGTTCCCCATTTTTTTTTCTTAATGTATTTTGTGAAGGGTATCACTACACATCTTAGGCTCATAATGATCCTCCTGTTTTCAGCCTCCCTAGCACTGGGGTTACAGGCATGCGCCACCATGCCTGGACTTGGGCGGGGCTGGCACGGCATGTGGTACCAGGGACCAAACTCCGGTACCTGTGCTTACCTAAGCAGGTACTCAGTCCACTGAGCTATCCCGCTGGCCCTTCCTCAAAGTTTTAAAATGTGTACTTTTTTTTTCAAATAGAAATAAAGCAATATGTTAAGGATGAGAAAAAAAAAAAAAAAAGGCCCATTAAGCTGAGCTTGGTGGCTCCTGCCTATAATCCCAGTACTCAGGAGGCTGAGGCAGGAGGACCATTCTGAGTTCCGGACCAGCCTGGCTACACAGTTAGCTCAAAGCCAGCCTGCGCTGCATAGCTAGACCCTGTCTCAAAAAGACAGAAAGTAAAAAAAAAAAAAAAAAAAAAACTATTAATGGAGAAAAGCTTTTTTAATAAGACATGAGAAATTTACTTAAATCTGTGACCAACCTGTTAATACCAGCTGCATTAACCAAGAAATTAACTTGACCTAAGTGTTTCTCCATCTCTTCAAATGTATTTTGAACATCATGTTCTTTAGCAACATCACAGCTAAAAGCCAAATGATTTCCTACAAAACAAAGTTAAATCAGAATTAGGTATCAATTATAACTTGAATTTTGGATTTTCTCAATACACTTGTTAAACACCTGCTGCGTGGCAGGCTTGTGCTAGACCTAGAAATACCAAGAAAGGGAGTCATAGGTTCCAGTTTCTATAGGTTTGTCTACTGAAACTGGGATGGGGCTAAGAGGAGAACAATAGGTATTACAGTAATCTTTAGACTGAGGGGGCTCTTACTGCTTGCAGGGGTGAATGCCTGTACTTCCGGTTACTCCGGAGGCAGAGAGGCAGGACCATCACTTGAGCCCAGGAGCTCAAGGCTAGGCTGGGTAACAGAAGAACTCAACTGTTTAAAATTTGAAAATAAAAAATAAAGCTCTGGCCAGGCACAGTGGCATAAGCCTGTAATACAAGTGGATAACGCTTTGTAAGATTAGTATTTATTGCATTGATGCTGAGCCCATGCTGCCCAGTTCAATGGGCTGCTGGGTTTTCTATTCCTTTTTTGAAATTTACGTCTAATTCTTTTAGGTTGAATTGGTTTCTTTGGCCCTAGGATGAATACTAGGGTTTCTTACTATTCTTTTTTATGCACTACAAACACACAACTGCACAAATACTATAGTGACTATTAGTCAAGCCTGAAAATAGGAGAGATGAGACAACATAGGAACAATTTTTTTAAAAGTTTAACTATATAAAAAATTGACTGGGGCATAGCTTTTTATTAAAAGTAACTATTATCTCTCAAAAATGTCTGCTTTTTTTAAAAAAATGTCTAAATAAAAAATTACATTTCAACGAAAATAAAGTACTCCTATTTCCCTCGACTTACAATATAGTTATGTCTAGATTAACCAGTGAAATCCATGTCTGGATAACCTACCACCTAGGTAGCTTAGCAACGCAGTACACTACAGGGTCAACGTTCTCTCCTCAGGACCGCATCCTCGGCTGGGAGCTAGGGCTTGCTGCCACTGTCCAGCACCCACCATATCACACTGCAGATCAAGCCAGGGGAAAGATCTAAACTCATGCGATGTATGGCTTCTCCTGAATGCATGTATTTCTCACACCATCATAGAGTCAAATTATTATTAAGTCAACTACATCTACTCTAAAATGTAGAATGTTTCTTAAAAAGCTAAAACAACTATTTTCTGCCTGACTTTACAAAACATGTTTACACTAACATGATGCCCTTAAGCCTTCAGAGACAGGACCTTGAGCTGGGAAATCACACCTGGCTAATGAAAATCACCACCAGAAAACACAAGACTCAAAAGATGAAATGTCTAGTGTCTTGCGCTTAGCCTTCACCTGAAGACTTGTGTGTCTGCCCTTTAAGACTCAACCAATGGTTTAATCTGGCCCAGCAAATGCAGGCCTGGGGTGATACTAAGGCATTTTCCCTCCATTGTCACAATGGTAATAAATGCAGCTACAAGAAAAATTCACTGAAATTCTCAAGTTTATACTCTTAACCCAGGATTTTTCCCAGCTACACTGAAGGCTAAACTGCAGCCAACCCAAGCAAGGATATAATTGTAAAAGTAACCTTCACATGACACGACTTCAGGCCTCTATTTTTGTCTCCCTGATAGTTAAGTGACTTGTATTTTTCTCCATTCCAATAATTAATGTCATCATCTTAGTACCTTTCAATGGTATTTTTTCTTACTATCAAGAGCCTTAAATTTCCAAAACAAATCCGTTATCGATAAGCAGGAAAAAACTGAAGTTTAAATGAAATAAGAAAGATTTGGCTAATCAAACTTGAATTTACTTATCCAATTCGCCAGCTGTCTTCCAACCCACGTGTTCACACAGGGGCAGGGCTGCCCGCAGCAGAACCGCAGAGCCCTCCGCCTGCCACGCCCACCTGCCCAGCCCCAGCTCCGCGGCGCACAGCCCTGCACCCGCGCGCCCAGAATCTACCCTTTTCCCCAGTAAAAGTTGCTCTGGCGTGCAATCTCCTACCAGAGGCCAAAGCAAAGCAGCTCCTCGCAGCCGGCGCTAGCCGCAGGGAGGTGGGTGCTTACTGGGGTCGGGGCGCTCCCGAGGCTGCGATGACCCGAAACCCCGGCTCTTGGCCGGGCTGCCGCGGGCTGAGCTCCCGGGTGCGGCTGCAGGGGGCAGGCTCGCCCAGGAGCCCCTTCCGGGGCGCGCTCGGAGCGCTCGGCCCAGACCCCCTCGGTTCACAGCCGAGGACATCCGGGGCCGGGGCTGCGGGCCGTCGCCCTCGGTACCTACCGCCGAGCTCACCGGCGGCGGCCTGGGCCACGTCCAGGTTTCTGGCCACGATCGCCAATCGGTAGCCCTTCTGGGCCATTAACTGCGCTACTGCCCTGCCAATGCCCCGGGAGCCCCCGAAAATAGCACAGACTTTGTTCATCTTGGACCCGAGAGTCAGAGTCCACACGGCTGAGAGCGGCAGCCCCTTCCCAAGTACCCCAGGCTTTTAAACAACCGGCTCCAAACAGAAACCTAAAGCGCTACGGAAACGCTACACAACAGCCTTCCTCTCGCCGCCAGATTCTGGCGCTCTGAGACCAAGAGGCGCAGACGTCCCGCGCCGACGTCACCACGCACGGGTCTGCGTCATCAGCGCACCGACAGAGCTCGTAGGGCTCCCTCTAGGCGGTGCTCCTGCCAGAGGTTCTGCACTGCACTGCACTGGATCGGGGGCGGAGGGATGCTGCAAGCTGGGACCTGTAGTCTTTACAGAGGCGAGCAAGAGGCCTGGGTGCTGCTCAGTGGGAGACCTACTTGAGCTCCCTGGGAGGTTACACTCGGGTGACCAGACTTCCCGTTTGCTCAGAGGTGAGTTGACAAGATACTGGGCTGTGCCTGGCAACATGTAATTGATTATCCTAGTCCAGAAGGTACATTATTGGGCGTGCATGTGTCAGAGTTTTGGACACGGATGTGGCAGAGACCCAGGGCTTACTTTTCACCCAGGTTTCCCTTTGCCTAGGCAGCAGACCTGATGTCTTGTTTATTGAAGACTGGCGCCCCTATGTCAGAATTACATCAAAAACTTACCTGTCCCTCCGCGCCTTACCTGCAAGCATTACCGTTAATTGCCAACAGTGCTGTGAAGATGAATTCCCTGTCCAGTAACACCATAGAAAAAGAGCTGAAGGAAAGTTTGCTTGATTTATAGCCCTCCAAGATGAATGAAATGACCATAAACTGCTATAGACAAAAACAGATTCCTGCACTTCTAGACACTGGCATGCTGAGTGCTCTGAGAATTGATAAACTTTTTAAAGAATGAAATACTTAGGAATTAATCTAACAAAGGAAGTAAAATAATCTATACAGTGAAAATTATAGTACTCTGAAAAAAGAGATTTCAGAAAATGGAAAGCTATTCCTTGCTCCTGGATAGGAAGAACTAACACTGTAAAAATGGCTATACTCCCGAAACTGTTATACAGATTTAATGCAATTCTGATCAAAATACCATCAGCATACCTCACACATATAGAGAAAACATTTCTAAAATTTGTTTTGTACTGGAAAAGACCTAGAATAGCAAAGGCAATCCTGCCCAAAACAAGATAAGAAACATCACAATCCCTGACTTGATGTTATACTACAAAGTTCCTGTGATAAAATCAGCATGGTACTGGCAAAAAAAACAAAAAACAAAACTGAGGATCAATGGGACAAATTAGAAAATACAGACACATCTGCAAACATACTCAGCCTCCTTATCTTTGATGAAAGGGCCAAACACATTCACTGGAAGAAAGATAGCCTCGTCAACAAATGGTGCTGGAAAAATCTGCTTTTCACATACTGAAAACTAAAACTAGATCCATGTCTATCACCATGCACTAAACTAAAGTCAAAATGGATTAAAGATCTAAACATTAAAGAAGAAACACTAAATCTACTGGAAGAAAAAGTAGGCTGATTTCCTGAAGGCATAGCGATAGGTAGAGAGTTCATGAACAAAACCCAAGACTGAATGGGAAATACTTCAAAGAATCAACAACTGGGATCTCATCCTACTGAAAAGTTTTTGCACATCAAAAGAAATCACCAATAGGGGCTGCGGAGATAGCTTAGTAGAATAAGCGCTTGCCTGACAAGCGCAAGGGCCTGAGTTCAATCCCCAGCTCCACAAAAAGAAAGAAAGGAAAGAAGGAAGGAAGGAAGGAAAGAAGGAAAGAAAGAAAGAAAAAAAAAGGAAGAAAGAAAGAAAGAAAGAAAGAAAGAAAGAAAGAAAGAAAGAAAGAAAGAAGAAAGCCAACTTAGTGAAAAGAAAGCCCACAAATTGGGAAAAAATCCTAGCCAACAGTCACTCAGACAAAGGACTTTGTCTTAGTTAATCTTCTCTCATTGCTGGGACAAATACCCGACACTCAAAATGAAGGAAGGAAAGGTTTATTTAGCTCACAGTTACTGGAGGCTTCAGTCCATATTCAGCTGGGTCCAATGCAGAGCAGCACACAGCAGAAAGCAACCTTCCATGGCGGCAGCAAAGAGCAAGAGCGCAAGGGAGGGGTAGCAGCAGCTCAAGCAGCTAGCCTCTCTCCCCACCTTACAT